TGAATCTAGGAAAATTGGAAGTCATCAAAAATGAAATGGAACACATAAAGATCAGTATCCTAGGCATTAGTGAGCTGAAATTGACTAGTATTGGCCATTTTGAATAGAACTGTCATATGGTCTACTACGCTGAGAATTGAAGAAGAATGACGTTGCATTCATCATCAAAAAGAACATTTCAAGATCTATCCTAAAGTACAAGCTATCAGTGATAGAATAATATCCATACACCTACAAGGAAGACCAGTTAATACAACTATTATTCAGATTTACACACCAACCACTAATGCCGAAGATGAAGAAATTGAAGATTTTCACCATCTTCTTCTTCATTCTGAAATTAATCAAACATGCAATCAGGATGCATTGATAATTACTGGTGACTGGAGTGCGAAAGTTGTAAACAAAGAAGGATAAGTAGTTGGAAAATATGGCCTTCATGATAGAAATGACACCAGAGATTGCATGATAGAATTTTGCAAGACCAACAACTTATTCATTGCAGATACCTTTTTTCAACAACATAAAAAGTGGCTACACACGTGGACCTTGCAAATACACAGGAATCAAATCGACTACATCTGTGGAAAGAGATGATGGAGAAGCTCAACATCATCAGTCAGAAGGCAGCCAGGGGCATACTGTGGAACAGACCATCAATTGCTCATATGTATATTCAAGTTGAAGCTGACAAAAATGAAAATAAGTCTACTAGAGCCAAAACATCCCACCTGAATTTAGAGACCATCTGTCATGGATTGAATTGTGTCCCCCAAACATGTGTGTCAACTTGGATAGGCCAGTATTCCCAGTATTGTGTGGTTGTCCTCTGTTTTGTGATTGATACAATTTTCCTATATGTTGTAAATCCTAATCTCTGCCTGTGGTTAATGAGCAAGATTGGATTATGTTGAAGAGCATTAGGGTGGGATGTCACACCCTTGCTCAGGTCACATCCCTGATCCAATGTAAAGGGAGTTTCCCTGAGGTGTGGTTGGCACCTCTTTTTATCTTACAAGAGATCAAAGGAAAGTGAAGTGAGCAGAGAGGGGGACTTCGTACCACGAAGAAAGCAGTGCTGGGAGCAGAGTGTGTCCTTTGGGACCTGAGATTCCTGTGGGGAGAAGCTCCTAGACCAAGGGAAGATTGATGACAAGGACCTTCCTCCAGAGCCGACGGAGAGAGAATGTGTTCCCCTGGAACTGACGCCCTGAATTTGGACTTGTAGCCTACTATACTGTGAGAGAATAAATTTCTCTTCGTTAAAGCCATCCACTTGTGGTATTTCTATTATGGCAGCTCTATATGACTATAAGACACCATCTCAAGAATACATTTGACACACTGAACATTAATGGCCAAAGACGACCAGACATGTTGTGGGATGACTCAGGGACATCATACATGAAGAAAGCAAAAGTTCGTTAAAAAGACAAGAGAGAAAGATAAGACCCAGATTGATGTCAGAAGAGACTCTGAAACTTGCTCTTTAATGTAGAGTAGCTAAAGCAAATGGAAGGAATGGTGAAGTAAAAGAGCTGAACAGAAGTTTTCAAAGGGTGGCTCGAGAAGACATAGTAAAGTATTATAATGAGATGTGCAAAGATCTAGAGTTAGAAAACCCAAAGAGAAAAATAACCTCAGCATTTCTCAAGCTGAAAGAAAAAATTCAAGCTTCGAATTGCAGTATTTAAGGATTCTGTGGGCAAAATATTGAATGTCACAGGAAACATCAAAAGAAGAGGGAAGGAATATTCAGAGTCATTGTACCAAAAAGAATTGGTCAACATTCAACCATTTCAGGAGGTTGCATATGATCAAGAACTGGTGGTATTGAAAGAAGAAGTCCAAGCTGCACTGAAGGCATTGGCGAAAAACAAGGCTCCTGGAATTGACGGAATACCAATTGAGATGTTTCAACAAACAGATGCAGCACTGGAAGTGCTAACTTGTCTATGCCAAGAAATTTGTAAGACAGCTGCCTGGCCAACCAATTGGAAGTGATCGTTAGTTGTGCCCATTCCAAAGAAAGGTGATCCAAAAGAATATGGAAGGCATCAAACAATATCATTAATATCACATTCAAGTAAAATTTTGCTGAAGATCATTCTGCCAGAAATTCAAACTGGATTCCGAAGAGGACATGGAACGAGGATGTCAGATGGATCCTGGCTGAAAGCAGAGAATAGCAGAAAGATGTTCACACATGTTTTATTGACTATGCAAAGGCATTCGACTCTGTGGATCAAAACAAATTATGGATAACATTACAAAGAATGGGAATTCCAGAATACTTAATTGTGCTCATGAGGAACCTGTACATAAACCAAGAGGCAGTCATTTGAACAGAACAAGGGGATACTACATGGTTTAAAATCAGGAAGAGTATGCATCAGAGTTGTATCCTTCTACCATACTTATTCAGTCTGTGTGCTGAGCAAATAATCCAGGAATCTGGAGTATGTGAAGAAGAATGTGGCATCAGGATTGGAGGAAGACTCATTAACAACCTGAGATAGGTAGATGACACAACCTTGCTTGCTGAAAGAGAAGAGGACTTTAGGCACTTGCTGATGAAGATCAAAGACTACAGCCTTCAACAAAGAAAACAAAAATCCTCACAACTGAGCCAACTAGCAACATCATGATAAACTGAGAAAATATTGAAGTTGTCAAGGATTTCATTTTACTTAGTTCCACAATCAACAGCCATGGAAGCAGCAGTCAAGAAATCAAATGACAAATTGCATTGGGCAAATCTAAAGACCTCTTTAAAGCATTCAAAAGCAAACATGTCAGTTAAGGACTAAAGTGTGCCTGATCCAAGCCATGGTATTTTCAATCACTTCATATGTAAGTGAAAGCTGGACAATGAATAAAGAAGACTGAAGAACTGATGCATTTGAATTATGGTGTTGGCAAAGAATACTGAATATACCAGGGACTCTCAGAAGAATGAACAAATCTATCTTGGAAGAAGCACAGCCAGAATGCTCCTAAGAAGCAAGGATGGCAAGACTTGGTCTCACATACTTTGGACATGTTATCAGGAGGGACCATTCCCTAAGAGAAGGACGTCGTGCTTGGTTAAAATAGAGGGTCAGCGAAAGAGAGGAGGTTCCTCAATGAGATGCATTGATACAGTGGCTGCAACAATGGGCTCAAGCATAGCAATGGTTATGAGGATAGCACAGGACCAGGCTGTATTTTATTCTGTTGTACATAGGGGTCACTATGAGTCAGAACTGACTGAAGGTCACTTAAGAAAAACAATGTGTTTGCCTCTATACAAAGCTTAAAATAAGCTTACAAATCCAATAAAATAGGACTGGCAGTTGTGTTTACCTTTGGGCCATTTTGTTTTATTGGGAGCCAGAGGAAGAGAATAAAGGGGGATGTGGGCAATAAGTTAGTAAATTGACCTCTTGGTTCCACTTTGGAGGCTTCCTGGAAGAGAGGTTCTTTCATACAGATTTTCTAAAAGGAAAGGAAAGGAAAAATTGCATAGATCACAAGATAGTAAGAGTAGGTTCAGATTTTAACTTGAAAATGAGATTTGCAGATAAGATGATTACCATCAGTACATTGTGGCATGGTGATATTTATTATATAGGAAATGATATACCAGCATATTCCCCCAAGCATGTTCCACGGACCACTAGTTCCACATGACAGATAGACCATGCGAAAAGGATGGACAAATGAATTTAGAAACATGGGATATTACATTGTCCTCTTGGACACAGTTCCTGTTAGCATCTTAAAGTCTCTAGGAGGTCCTAAAATAAAGGAACTTTGTTTAAGTTTGTTTTGTTTTTCTCCCAAACTTATTTGATCAGGTCTCTATTTCTTTTTCATGGACTACATGGTCTGTTTTTCTCTGCCTCTTTGCCCTGTCCTTTCACTGCCACTTGGCCAGTCTTTTCTCTTTTCCTCAGTCCAATTAAGGAAAGAACCATTCTGATAGGTTTAAGTAATTACAGTCAGCATAGTCCTTTGCCTTAGGCCAACTCATACCTAGGGCGTGGGCTGTTTTTGGTCAGGTGCTGACCAATGATGCCATCAGTGGTCATCCTCACACAAAGAAGGGTCTGATGGCAAAGGGGACTAGGGTGTGACAAGTGTTCTCATTAATAGATTCAGGGCAACAAGAGTCACTTTTTCCTCATTAATCAAGAGGACAAGTCCAAGAAATGACTTAGTTTTTAATTATGATAAACCTCTTATGTGATACTAGATAGCCAGGACATAGGTTAGAAGGAAGGTGAGGTGGTACAAGAGGTGATTAGGGGAAGACTTCAGATTGTCTTCTCCCTACGGCTCCTAACTCTCTTTGCTGAGTGGGAGTTCTACAGGCAACCCAGTGAAGCAGAAGGAATAATAAAACTTTACCAGAAAAGTTATAGAAATTGTGAAATTTAAAAATGTACTCTACATTTCATAAACTCAGCAGTTTGCAATATGTGTATTACACTTTGATATGCCAAACAAACCTTTCTATAACAACTTAATCAATGGGTATACTTTTGCCATTTTTTCCCTCTGAAATTTTACAGTACAACTCTGGAGATATTCAGCTCTAACACAGACAAGTGTATTGATAGTTCTCATTCTTTTATGAGTGATGAACATATAGTACTTCTTCAGTGGGCCTGTGTGCCCTAGAGATGACTGTAACCTGCTATTGATCAGCTGACTGAAGATAAATGGCTTAGCTGCTTGTATTGCAGATTACATCATTAACATGGTCAGTAAACCATGAATTGTTCTATAAGGCGTTTATCTTTTTTCATTGGACTTCTGCTCTCTTATCACTCTTATTATAAAGGACAAAATTACCCACACTAACCAGGAAAATCAGTTGAAAAGAGATCCAGTAGGGTACCATTATGGGTACAAAGTTGCAGATAGCTGAGTTCTAACGGTTTAATGATATTTAGATACGCTTTTGAACTGAAAATATAGCTTTGATAATTTTTTTTTCTGTGTTTTTCTTACAGCTTCCTTTTGCCTCATATTTACTAGAAGCAGTACTGGAGAAAATAAGTGGAAAAAGGAAACTAATTGAAGAGTATTTCACAATTATGAAAGATATTAGATGATATTACAATGAAGAGCTTTTTTCAAATGTGAAAACTTTTATGTCGTGTGATTGGAAAAACATGCATTGTAATCCCAATAGGGTACCTGCTCCAACTATCAATAGTCAGGTTCAATACCAAAAGAAGAAGACTCTGAAACTAATTAATTGCTGAACAAGTGAAACTAATTAAGTGCAGGGCCATTTAAAAGGAAATAGTGTAGCATTTGATTGTTGAATACAAATATTGCCACAAATCAATGCAAACTTAAAAATGATTTTCCTTCCAGTGCGTTAGAAGAAGCTAGAATAAGCTTAGCACACACAAATTGGTCTGAGTCTAAAAAGTGAAAAAGTGTCAACTGAGGATTTAAATGTTTTAAGTTTTACAAAGAAACTAAACTTTTTACATAAAACTGCTATAATTTGCCTTAAATGATCCTACAAGCAACACATTTGTACGGAAGCAAACATAAAATGAAGCATCGCAACTTAAGGATGAGCGTTTAATAAAACAAATTGTGTGGTCCAGTTGTATCTGTTCTCAATGATACAGTGGATTATATAGATGCTGTATTTTCCTACAACTATTTGGCAAAAATAAAAACATTTTCTCTCTTTTTTTAATTCTCAGTACTTTGTGTGGTCATATAAATTAGCAAGGGGCCACAAACCCATGTATAAAATTAAGTTAGAACTAAAAGAACTACTGTGATCAACGAATTAAAGTTAAATTTTATTAGTACAGGCAGTCCCCGGGTTACGAATGTTCAACTTACATACAACCCGTAGTTATGAACCAACCTCTGTAAAGCCTATTATATTAAAAATTCGACGCACATACAATGGTTCATAATAAAAAACAAGCATTACTTTGTGATGCACATCAAAACATTATTATTATTACTGCATGTTAAAGATGTTATAGCGTATCTGGAAGTATTTCTTTAATGTTTTTTATGCTATATACTAAGACATTTGACTAACTGATGTTAGACACGAACCATACCTAACTGTTCTGACTTATGTACAAATTCAACTTAAAGACAGATTTAGGAATGGGAACTCCTTCATAATCCAGGGACTGCCTATAATGTAATACTTATTTAGATTCTTGAACATAATGGTCCATTGAATTTCATACTCCCCACCTCTTCATTATGTTCCTGCCACATCTGCCTTTTTTTGGTCCCTCCAATTCACCAAGCTTATTTCTGCCTCTAGCCTTTGCCCTTTCTAGAATTCTCTTTCTAGAATACTCTGCACTCAACTTTTCTCGCGGCTGGCTATTTCTCATCATTCAGGTTCAGTTTACACATTCCCTAAGAGACACATTTCCCTCACCATCTTACTATTTTATTTCCTTTATAAAACAAAACTATCTAGTTTATTTTTCTGTTCACTTATTTACTTGTTTATTGTCTCCTCTTCCTCCCACCCTTAGAATGTAAGTCCATGAGATTAAGACAAACCAAAAAAAAAAAAAAAAACAAAAAACAAACCCATTGCTGTCAATTTGATTCTGACTCATAGACACCTGTTTGTGTATGGCCCACAGCTAAGAATGGTTTTTACATTATTAAATGGTTGAAAACATTCAAAAGAAGAATAATATCTTGTAACATGTGAAAATCAAATCTCAATGTCCATAAACAAAATTTTATTGGAACGCGGCCATGCCCATTCATATACATATTGTTCATGGTTCATGCTACAGTGGCTGACTTGAGTCATTGCAACAGAGACCGTATGTGGTGCTCTCATTGCTTTGCTGTACTGCTTGGCACACTGCAAATTACGCAGGCAAAGTTATAAGCTAACAGCATTTTGAGTGCCACAAATATTTCTGTACTACAGTTTAAAAAAAAAGAAACAATGCATACCTATCACATCAAAACAAGAAAAGAGGAAAAGAGTTGTCAAATGTCACACTTTTAAGGCTAGGGCAGTGTGGATTATTTGGTTACTGAATTAGTTGGCAAAGCATTGTGTTTATGCTGCAATGACACTCCACCTGTGCTAGAAGAATACCGTATATGTCAACACTACCCGACTAAAAGTCATCGTAATATTCCCAACTCACAGGAAAGTAACAGGAAAAATTACAAAATTTAAACTGGAATATCTTACCACAGCAGAACTGCATTACAAAGATAAAAATGAGACTACACTGTATTACACTGATAAGCACAAGGACGGAACAAAAAAGAACGTGTGGTAGGTTGAATGATGACCCATCCCCCACCAAGATGTCCATGCCCTGATCCCTGGAACCTGTGAATATGTTACCTTATATGGCAAAAGGGACTTTGCAAGTGTGATTAAGTCAAAGATATTGGGATGGGGAGATGACACTGAATTATCAGGATAGGCCCTATGTAATCAGAATGGTTCATATAAGAGGGATACAGGAGGAGTCAGACAGAAAGTGATGTGATAACAAGCAGAGGGACATACACAGAGATTGAAGATGCTACCGTGCATGATATCCTGCAGTGACTGATCCCTCCTGATGACCTGTCCAAAGCAAGCCAGTCAGACAGGGTTCTGTTGTGATCCATAGGTTTTCACTGGCTAATTTTCAGAAGTAGATAACCAGGCCTTTCTTCCTAGTCTGTCTTAGTCTGGAAGCTCTACTGAAACCTGTCCACCATGGGTGACCCTACTGATATTTGAAACACAGGTGACATAGCTTCTGGCATCACAGCAACACACAAGCCACCACATTATGACAAACTGACAAATGAGTGGTGGTTTATACTAATTAATCCTCGATAATTATGCAAGAGTCTGACCAGTAGCACAAATGATTCTTGGATTTAAAGTGTCCAAATGTGATGATTATTATAAAGAAATTCATAGCCACAATAGGAAAGCCTTTCTGAGTTCCCTCATATAACTGTAAAACCCACGGAAGAGATGAGTAACAGAAAACATTTTGAGAGAGCCCTTTAACTGGCCTAGATGTCAAATTCAGAAGGGTTAATGAGATGAGCAGACAGAAGAGTTTCTATTTTAAATTCCTACATTTCTGTGCACATAACTGCCTTTGGTATTAGCACAACATTTGCATGAGAGATTTACTATGACATAATAGAATACAAATGAGTTATTTTCTTGCCTGTGACATGAAAGTTTTCATCAAACATACGGTTTAAAAAAAAAGTCTGTTGGCTTAGCTTTTAATTTTTAAGTATACAAACATGTATTTGATTTTTAAGTGTTTATTTTTTCTATTTGCTAGGTGTCTTAGGCTGGGTTCTCTAGAGAAGCAAAACCAGGAAAGTGTATAAATATATATATATAGAGAGAGAGAGATTATATCAAGGAAACAGCTCACATGATTGTAGAGGCTAGAACATCCCAAGTCCGTGGATCAGGGTAGAGGCTCTCCCAAGTCACACAGCTGCAGAAGCTGGCAAGCCCAAGATCGGCAGGTCGGAGAGCAGGGCTCCCGCTCATAGGCTGTGCAGATCGACCAATCCCAGGTTTGGCAGATAAGCTGACAGCTCAAGTCCCAAGAACGGGAGATGAGA